TTGCGAGGTAATTATGTGCCCGGAAGCCACCCACTGCAATGGAAGAGATTTCGGACCCTGAAGCTGCCTATAAGATCTGGATGGCATAGCTCCCAGCTTCTTCCATGTGAGAGATAAATAAACTTCTGTGTTTGTTTCAGCCAGTGTTATGAGCCTCCAAATCTGATCCCAGTTCTTACCCTAGTTGTTCTCCCAACAACCTGGAGCCCTTGATAGCTTGCCACACTCAGTCTATGGGTGGGGCAGGAGTGCTTCGTGATTCCAAGGACAAAAATAATGAGATGGCTCTCTGCTGCTTGCTGTGCAATTTTTGTTAACTTTCAAAATACATTCTTGAGATCTGTAGTTGAGAAAAGTTTTAAGTCCTACAATACTAATTTTTGATGATCAAAGTCCAGAGCCCCAAAGCATTCTGGAGAGAAAGTTTTGCTACAAAGAGGCATCAAAGCATCTGGACCACTTTCCCCACCCTGCCAGGCAAGGTGAGATCCTGGGAGCTGGAGGGGGAGGGCAGAGTTGGGCGGGGGGAGGGTTACATTTGGGTGGGACTTGCTCATTCATGGTCAGCGGTGGATGGAGGTGGGAGGCAAAGGACTGATCAGAGAAAAACAGGAAGTGAATCATGAGCTAGCATTCCCGCCATCTTTAAGCAGGGAGTGGAGTGAAAATGGTCTTGGGGACATCTTGGCAAGGGGACTGAACGTGAGTGTAAGTGGGATTCCCCATCTGCCTGAGGGCAGAGGGGCATCCTCTGTGCAGACTTGAACCATCTAAACCAGCATCAGGTAGCTCAGTGACATGGGTAAGCAGGAGAAAGGTTCCAGAGCAGGGGGTCCAGATGGCCAGGTCTCCCAATGTCCCTTACTTACAGCATCGATACCAGCCTTTTGAAAAATGCACTTCCAGATCTTGAAAGATGTCCTTGTCAGATGACTTTCAGGTGCAAAACATGCTTTTTGATGCCTTGTTTAACACGAAAGTGCAGAGACGCATATCCCCTGGTGATAGCAGCAAGTAGATTTTAATATTTATTTAAACATATATTTATTTTATATTATATTATATATTATATATTTATATTATATATTATATTAATATTATAAATATATTTAATATAGAGAGACCAGTGGTCTTCATGTTTTAGGATACACATCCCATTAATAAAAGCATAGAGACGGGGGGTGGTCCTGAAATGACCAAGAAAACAATTTCTGAGTTGCTACAAGGGGGCCAGCTGCTATGGCCAATGTGACCCTGAGGGTGGCGTGGTGCAGAGCCCACGGCAGGAACCAGAGGAACAGCCCGGGGGCTGGGGCAAATACCTGCAGGACATATGAAAAATATCACTATTTCTAATATATAAGAGGTTCCTATGAAGGGAGAAGAAAAAGATTTAAAACCTGCTAGAAAACTGCGCAAAGGCTATCTACTGGCTATTAACAGAGAAAGAAATAAAAACGGCCAATAGATGCAGAAAAGGTACTAAACCTTATTAGCAGTCAAGACAATTCAAATTAGAACAATAATGACATATTTTTATTCAAGAGATTGGCAAAAATTATAGAGTGCCGGCATTGATTTCTGGGAAGACTGTGGGGAAATTGATGCCCTCATATACTGCTGGTGGGAAGTGACATTGATACAACCTAATTTGAATGCAATTTCTTAATATCTATTAAAATAACATATGGCCATTTGACATAGGAATCTCACTTTGCAAATTTATTTTACGAAATGAGAAGAACAGATCCTTAAGACCCCGTGTGCAACACATTCAGCCAAGCATCTCGGTGGTAGAAACAGCCTGGAATGGGAGCCATCAGCGAGAGTCCTTGTGTAACCTCAAGCGCATGCATTTTGTGGAGAGATACCCAGCTACTGGGGACATAGTGACACATGGGTTGACCAGAAGCTGTTCCAGGGTGAACGCTGGCATATAGGAGACATCCCAATGGCAAGGCAAGTGACGGGTCCCACCATGGATGGGCTCGTGGTGGTCTGGACAGTGCTTCCATAGCAAGGCACCTCTGCCCGCTTCAGATGGAGAATGGGGTCCAGCGAGGTGCCAGCCCCCAGCCTCCTCCCTCCCCCCCATCTGCCACACCCTGTTTGGACTCTTTAATCACTTCCGTGAGACCCCCGGAAGGATAGCACATCCCATTTCTGTAAAGTCAAACCACAACCAAGGCTTTTTTTTTTTTTTTAATCTTTATTTATTTTTAAGAGACAGAGAGACAGAGTGTGAGCAGGGGAGAGGCAGATAAAGAGGGAGACACATAAAACGATTGTACTACAATAAAAGCCAAAGAGAAGGGTTTATTTAAGAGGATGGTTGAGTACACAAGAAAAAAAATCGCTCATGGGAAAAATTCTCTTCGTTTTCCTTGGACATTTTCTCCTACAAATGAGTCTTAAAATCAACCCGTCAAAGCCTACTTCATAAAATGCAAAATCCAGTTCATAATAAACCTTTTATCAAAATCTGAGCGGATGGGAATGATCTCAACTTGATCAAGCATATCTATGAGAAACCTACAGGAAATGCCCTGCTTAATGGTAAAACATTTAAAATATTCCCACTGAAGCCAGCAACACACAGGAGGCTGCCATCAAGTTACTTATTTCTTATTTAGCGTTTGAGATATGTCATGCTTTCTCCTTGTTTCTATTAACCCCCCTTTGCCTTTTGTTTGATTCACCAAATTTTCTTTGACCCACTTCTTTTCCCTCAATCGGTTGGAAAGTTTGCACTGCAGTTCAGTTCATTTAGTGCTTACCCATGGGTACACAGACTTTAAAATGTTTCGAGTTCCATTGCTTCTTCACACTCAGCATCTGTAACGTCTCCAGAAACCAGACAAGAATTATAGTACTTTTTAGCTCCTCCTGGACTCCCCCAACCCCCAAATTTCTGTGCCAATGTCATGTGGAATTTTAATGTCAGGTTATTCTTCTCTCTTCCAGAATCATACTTTTTACTAGAGGGGCACCTGGGTGGCTCAGTTGGTTGAGCGTCCGACTCCGGCTCAGGTCACGATCTCACAGTTCATGAGTTCGAGACCCATGTCAGGCTCTGTGCTGAAGGCTCAGAGCCTGGAGCCTGCTTCGGATTCTGTGACTGCCTCTCTCTCTGCCCCTCCCCTGCTCACGCTCTGTCCCTGTCTCAAAAATAAGTAAACATTAAAAAAAAAAAAACTAAAAAAAAAATGAATACAGTTTACTAGTTTCCCTGCTTACTGGTCCTTCTTGCACCCCACATCTTCCTCCTATTTTCTTCTTATTTGTTGTTGTTGTTGTTGTTGTTTAGATGTTTGATTTTTTTTTTTAATCCTGGCTGAAAACCATCTGTGCTTTCGCTGCAGGTAACTAAAAACTCAGCTGGAACTCGCTTTATGAGCTCACGGACAATCAAGTTCAGAGAGTGCTCATGCTTTGGGTCCAGTGTCCTTAGCGTTCAGGCTCATTATGTCATGTCCCCACCCCTCCTCCCATTGCTCCTCCCACCCTTCCTGAGGGGGTGAATTGGCCGCAGGAATTCCAGAACCTCCTGTCCATGCACCTGAGCTCGAGCGCACCTCTGACTGGCTTTAGAACTCGAGACAGGGTTATTGCCTCTCCGCGCTTTGAGGATACCTCCCTGTTCGGAGTCCCTGGTGCTGCCAAAGGAAGTGTGACGTCAGACTCCCTCTGCCTTCCTTGGAGGTCTCTTCTCCCAGACGGTTTGGGGGACTCTGCCTCCACCACACCTCGTCCAAGTGCATGTGATTGCCTCATCCTGCTCAGGATTCAAGTCTTTCTTCAGCGTGGGGAAGTTAGCCAGACGACACGTATATTGCTATCGTCCAGATGTTCTGTTCTCCTTGGTAGAACCCCGGTGTTGGACGCCCCTACTTCAGGAGCTACTGTCGGTGTGAGATAGCTTTCAAACCCTCCACCTTTCTCTGGCCACATCCTGGGGGCTCCCTCCGCCCGAACGCCAAGCTTACTGATTTGGGCCTCAGTCCTGTCCGTTCCGCGATTCAAATCACATAATTCTGTATTCCAACAAAATTCGTCTCAAGCGTCTCTATCTAATTGGCTTTTTATGTGAAGTACATGTTATTGTGTCAGAGATATCCTATCACCCTATATCTCTCTGAGGATATTAATTATACTCTTTAAAATTCTTTTTCTGAATGTCCTATTGCTTATTTCCTTGGTGTAACTTCTCTTTTTTTTTTTCTTTTGTTCCTTCACTGTGTCCACTTTTCTTTTTTTAATTTTTTTAAACGTTTTTTTAACGTTTATTTATTTTTGAGAAATACAGAGAGAAAGAGCGTGAGTGGGGGAGAAGCAGAGAGAGGGGGAGACACAGAATCTGAAGCAGGCGCCAGGCTCCCAGCACAGAGCCCGACACGGGGCTCGAACTCACGAATCGTGATATCATGACCTGAGCCAGAGTCAGATGCCTAACTGATTGAGCTACCCAGGCACCCCCGTGTCCACTTTTCTAAAACATTTAGCAGTTCTACATCTCAGGATTGAAAAAAAAAAAAAAGCTAGCTGTGAACGCAAGACTGAATGTGTCTTCCCAAAATTCACGTTGAAATCCTAACCCCTCGGTGTGATGGTATTAAGAGGTTGAGCCCCTGTGAATGGGATTAGTGCCCTTATAAAAGGGATCCCAGAGAGTTCCCTCACTCCTCCAGCCATGTGAGGACACAAGACAGCTATCTATAAACTAGAAAGTGAGCTCTCACAAAGAATCTGCTGGCGATCCTGGACTTCCAGCCTCCAGAGCTGGGAGATATAAATGTCTGTTGTTTATAAACCACCCAGATTGTGCTATTTATTATAGCAGTCCGAACAGACTGAGACAGAAGAGGACAAGAGGAGATTGCGGATTTATTTCAGTAAGCACTGAGGGACTAAATTCATACACATCTTTGATAAAACAAAAGGAGGAGACAACAGGGGGGCTGGCGTGTGACCCTGCCGGGATCCTGGGAGGAAACTTACAGGTGCAGTCTGGACAACATAAGGCAGGGGAAGGGCTGAGTGGGGACAGATGGGGACTTGGCTTTGGCCTGGGAATAACACCCAGCTCAGACAGACTCTGGTGGCAAGTGACAGAGGTCACTGTGCAATGTGGGTAAAAAATTCTGGGACCCCGTACACAAAGGTACCAGAGGGGGTCTGCGTGAAGAACAAAGTTGAGCCCTCCAAGGGTCTGAACCCCAAGCAGGGATAGACGCCAGAAGTTGGGGCATCGGTGAGGACCCAATACCCAGACGCATCGGGCAGCGCCTGGACTCCTGCCCCAGGCTGTGCTGTAAGTCGCACCATCGCTGCCCCAGTAGAAGGGAGGGATGGGGTCTGCGTGGCTTCTGATTCCACGTGGTGTCTGCGCTCATCGCGGTGGTCCGACTCCACACGCAGACCTGGTCTCAGCATGCGTCTCGGCCTCCCTTGGAGGCCAGGGTCTCGGTGAAGGTCTGTTCCCCTTCCTTCACGATGGCCTTCGTCTCTGTCTCCGAGGTCAGGTGTGAAAGCCGGGGTCACACATCTCATAGGTTTCACCACAGCAAAGGGTTTCGAGGGCTGGCCTGGCTTCACGGGGCCATCTGCTTTCACGATGCCTCCGGCTTCCATCCCAGAGCAGTCTGGCTCCTGAGAATGCACACCTGAAGCAAAGTAGAGAAGCAGAAAGTGGGAAGAAGAAGTCAGAGCTTCTTGAGGAAGCTTTGGGGGCAGGATAATGGGGGGGAGGGTATGAGGTGGTCCAGGAGACCCCCAAGTGCCAAGGACTTATGTGTGGCACTCTCACTGGTCATTTCTTTTTATGAAAATTTTTAATTATTTTTTAAGTGTTTATTTATTTGAGAGAGAGAGAGAGAGTGCAAGTGGGGAAGGGGCAGAGAGAGAGGGAGACACAGAAGCTGAGGCAGGGTCCAGGTTCTGAACTGTCAGCACAGAGCCCGACGCGGGGCTCAGACTCACGAACCTTGAGATCATGACCTGAGCCGAAGTTGGACACTCAACTGACTGAGCCACCCAGGTGCCCCCCGACTGGTCATTTCACTTGGCCTCCCCACCACTTATCCAGCTAAATAATTGCCATCCCCTTTTTCCTGACAGGTAAGCTTATTCTAGATTCACTCTGAATTCACTAGATTCAATTTGAATCAGAGTGACAGTCCCTGCCCTCACCAGGCTTAAATTTCAATAGAAGAGACAGACACAACACAGCAACAAAAAAATATAATGTCACCAATGGGTGACAAGTTGGAAAGTAAAGGCGTTAGGGTATTACGAGGAAGGTGGTTTTGAATCCAAAGGGCCTGGAATTCTATCTTAACTGACCTGAGATAAGCTTCAGTTTTCTTTTTCATGAATTGATATGGTGATACACCGACTCCTGGGGTGTTACAAAGACTTGGTCTCTAAGAGCAAATGCTTAGATTAGTGTCATCCTAGCTTGTCCTTGGGGGCAGGAGGCCCAGAAAGTCTGGCTGGAGGAGTCAACATAAACCTGTAAGCCAGGACCTTCTCAGGAATGAGCGGGATTTAGCAAGGCAAGGGCTGAGTAGGAGGGAGGATTCCCAGGGGGATGGAGACTGGGAGCAGGCTTCTAGAATGGAAAGAAGACTGGACTAGCTGGAGGATAGCACGGCAGGAGGGAGAAGTTCATAAAGACCCCTTGAAGCTAAGCCAAGTTTCAGTTGATCCTAAGATCAAAGGAGAACCATTGAAAGGTTTTAAGGAAGGGAGCAAGTTACCATGTTTGGACTCCAGAAAGTGAAGTGTGGACAGAGAAAAGAAGGGGGAGTGCCTAGAGGCAGGAAGGCTGGGAAGAGGTAAGGGAAAGACAGCAGGACCACAGGGATCCCCTGAAGACAGGCTGGATGAAAGGGGGCATCTGGGGCCCCCACCGATGCTGTTTGTCTGCAGGACACTCTCCTGACCATTTGTTAAACACACCCCCACCGCCATGTGCCTTCCCCCAACAGAGAGAGCCAGGAGGCTGTTTCCCCAAGGCAGGGCTCAAGGGAGAAGGCGCAGGTTTGTGTCACCCGAGTGGCAATGTGAGAACACAGATGTGAGTCTGAGGCTCCACGCGGGGCTCAGCTGGAGCTGGATTTGAGTCATCTACGCAGAGTTGGTCATCACCACCATGGGAGCTGATGGGATTGGTACGAGAGAATGAAGGAGCAGAGAGCGCCTCTGATAGAACCCTGAAGTCCACTGCTGACCTCTAAGGGAAGGGTAGAGACATAGCACCTTTCAGGGCCACTGGTGCAGAGGGAAACTGGGAGGGTTTACCCAGATCCAAGATGGAGGGAACAGATCAGGGAGGGATGAGCTGCCCACAGTGTTGGCAACGTGGGACAGAGCAGGCCTGCGATGGGGCCACTTCTGTTGGCCCCCCGGACTCAGTGAGAACAGCATGAGGACAGCGGCAGAGGCAGAGGCCATATTCCACAGCAGCGTGGTAGGGAAGATGGCAGGTGAGTGAAGACGGTAAGCAGGAGACAGCAAATGTGGGGCTTTTCCCAGGGGTCATTGAGTCGTGGTTGGGGGGCAGTCCTGGGACACAAGAACCCAACAATAGAGAGCACCAGGCATAAAGAACAGCTCCGAGAGACCCACTGCCATGGAACAAATTGAGAGCATTTCAACATAACGCCTTCTTTCTCTACAATCATCATCCAAAAATAAAAAAAAAAGCCAGGATCAGATCCTCTCATGGGTGAATTTTTTTCCAGTTCTCGGCTACAAAAGCTCAAACTCATAATAATACCTTAAATCAATCTCAGAATGGTCAGGGTCCCCGCAGCACGAGGTGGGGAGTTGCAGGCTCTGAGACACGACCATAGCCCTGTTGCTAGTTCCTTTGACCCCATCTTCTCTGCACTCAGGGGCTGGCATAAACAGAAAGAAAGGGACACTATAGGAGAGTTCTGGAACTAAGGACAGGTATAATAGTTAAAAACATTTGAATTTGGGGGTTTTGAGTTTCAGAAATCAGAGTCCTGGGAGATTCAGGCATATCAAGCTTTATTCAACACTTAAATGACTCATGTGGTCCTGCAGAGCCATTTACATCTGCGGTCCCAAACTCAGGCTCAGAGCTCAATGTGACTCCAGAAGCAACCAAGAATGTCCTGGATGAGCTGGCAGGGGGCTTTCCGATAGGAGCTAGAGGGCTCAGAGAGATCTGCATGGACTTAATGGCCAGACACCAGTAGGAACAGAAGCAAGGGGTAGCTTCCAGACCAGAAGCAAGGACCAGAGCATGTTTCCCTGTGTTGACCTAGATTTAACCCCAGTAAAAGTGGGGGCAGAAGGGAGGGAGGTGCGAGATCATTCATTGACCAAAGAAAGTCTGAATTGATAAAGCCCCCTAATTCAGGAACACTAAAAAATCAATAAGATAAACAACCAAACAGAGGAAAATAGCAGAAAGCAATCACAGGCCATCCATAAAAGGGAAAAAGCAAATGGTCCCTATACACATAGGATGCTAAACCTCACTTACAAGGAAGCCATCCAAATTAAAGGAAAAGTTGTACCATTGCTATGCATCTATCAGACTGGTAAAGATGACAAGATTTAGGACGCTCAGTGTATGGACAGAAATGTTATGGTGAACAATTTCACAATAGCTATAAAATTTTAATGCCCTCCAGAAAGAGAACATGATGGAGGTACTTGGTTTATCATAGATCATGAAGCAGCATCCAGCTATAGGAATGAAGACAGTGTGATGTTCAAAGAGAGATAAATGACTGAGCGATAGAATGGAACAAACAGCCCAGACTGGATCCACATCTATGGAGATTTAGCTGATGACAGAGCTGGCACTGAAGAGCATCTAAAGACTCTTCCCTGAGAAGCCTGTGAAGTCTAAGAGAAAAACAAACAAACAAACAAAAAACAAAAACCAAGAAACCGGCACGTTGGGGTTCCCCAATTCGGCAGGCCAGCCACATAAATTCTGCAGAACCCACAGTCAACAGGCCCCATTCATTGGCTCAGAGCGACCATTCAGCTTCTCAGCGTCCCTTTTTCAATATGCGCAGCCAACAAGGGGACATCAAACATCAGAAGAAAGACTAATGTGAGACAGGAAACTGATAATCAAACAGAAAGAAAGCAACGTGCAGGAAGTAGCTTATGCCATAGGTGAAACTTTCAAAAAAACTATCAATATCTTTCGAAAGAGAAGAGAAGAAATGATGCCCATGGATCAATTACAAGATACTTTTATTTTTTAATGTTTATTTATTTATTTATTTTGAGAGAGAGAGAGAGAGAGAGAGAGAGAGAGGAAGACAGAGAGAGAGAGCATGAGCAAGGGAGGAGAAGAGGGAGAGAGAACCCCAAGCTGGCTCAGTGACGTCAGCACAGAGCCCAACATGGGGCTCCATCCCATGGGCTGTGAGATCACAACCTGAGCTGAAATCAAGAGTCAGATGCTCAACCAACTGAGCCACCCAGGTGCCCCAATTACAAGACACTTTTAAAAGGAACATTCAGAAAAGCAAACAAACAAAAAGACCCATTCGAAATTAAAATTATGAGAGCAGAAATTAAAATCTCCATGGAGGGGATCTCACAACTGTGAGATTGGGCTCCTCACTGGGCTTGGAGGCTGCTTAAGATGATCTCTGTCCCTCTGCCCCTCCCCCACTCGTGTGTGTGTGTGTGTGTGTGTGTGTGTGTGTGCGCGCGCGCTCACTCTCTCAAAAATAAATAAAAATAAAATAAAGTAAAATAAAATAAAATAAAATAAAATAAAATAAAATAAAATAAAATCTCTGTGGATATTTTGAAAGACAAAGTTGAGGAAATGTCCCAGAAAAAAATCACAAAAATAAAAAATAAGGGGGATAAAATATAAGAAAATTAGAAGCATAGTATTACCAAAGCTAATTATCAAAAAAAAATTTTGAGTTATGAAGACAAAGAGAAGATTCTAAAAACTTCCAGAGAGAGAAGCAGAGAGAAAGAGAGATAGAAGGAAGAACTGTCTTCAAAATTCTGAGGGAAAAGGATTTCCCACCTAAAATTCAATACCCAACCAAACTATCATGAATCAAGAAGGGTAGAAAAAAGACACTTTTAAATATGCAAGGTCTCAAATAATTTTTTTGGATGCATGTTTCCCCAGGAATGCTACTAGAAGGTTTGCTCCACCAAACAAACAAACAAACAACAACAAAAAAACAAAAATAAACAAGCAAACAAACAAAAAAAACAAAACCAAAACAAAACAGACTAAGAGGGTATAAAATTCCAAAGTGGGGAAGAATTCCCCAGATGATGGTCAAGAGAGATCCTAGGATGGCAGCCTGAAGTTGGCTGAGAGCAGCCAGTCTAGGCTGGAGCAGGTTAAAAGGGTGTGGCAGTAATGCCACCAGAAGGTGAAATTGATAAGACACTTGATTGAGTTTGAATTTAAACAACTGAGGGGGGCACTTGGGTGGCTCAGTCGGTTGAGCGTCTGATTCGGCTCAGGTCATGATCCCGGGGTCTGTGGGTTCGAGTCCCACGTCAGGCTCTGTGCTGACAGCTCAGAGCCTGGAGCCTGTTTCAGATTCTGTGTCTCCCTCTTTCTCTGACCCTCCCCTGTTCATGCTCTCTCTCTCTCTCTGTCTCAAAAATAAATAAACGTTAAAAAAAAAAAAAATTAAAAGCAACTGAGGAAGAGTGAGAATGGATTAGTGGTCAATTGGCAGATAAAAGCCCAAGTATTAGGTTTTGGAAAATTCAAGTTGCACCAAAGGAGAAAGGGATCCTGGTCGACTAGATGGTCCCATTTTGAATAGTGACATTCTGCGGGGAGGTGGGGGCCTGAAGGTGTGTGTGGGGGGGCGGGGCGAGTGCAGCTAGCGGTGAGGATGGTGGGAATGCAAGAACTACAGCTAATTACTCCTCTCCCACAGAGGGAAGACCATAAATAAAGTCTAAAATGGAAAACCGAGTTAGTAATAGTGTAAACATGGTATTTAGAGAACAGAAAGTGATGTTGAAAGAAACCAAACAGATGAAAACGGTTGTCTCTAAAGTGTGAGAAGTTGAGAAGTAGCAGGGGCTGCTGTTTTTCATAATGTGCCTTATTGGGATCTCTGAGTTACATAAGTAAATACCAAAAGTAAAATAAAAACCAGGAAAAGGTTAGAAAGCAAGTAACTGAGGGCACGGTGGGTTAAGCCTCTGACTCGATTTTGGCTTGGGTCATGATCTCACCATTGGTAGGATCGAGCCCCGCATTGAGGTCTTTGCTGGAGCCTATTTGGGATTCTCTCTGTCTTTCTGTCCCTCCTCTCTTCCCCCACCCCCCTACTCTCTGAAAATAAATAAATAAACTTTAAAAAGAAAAAGGGGGCACCGGACACATACCTGACCTCCTGCTGTTGAACTCTTCGAAGCTGGCTCTGGAAACCTGGAGAGCAGGACACCCTTTCAGGAAGAGAGGTCCAAGGGGTTGAGGGTCCAGAAGTGTCCACAGATCAGGACTGTAGCTCAGACCTTAGCCGTCGGACGACCTTCTCACAAGCCTCCAAGAAGTCTACTGAGCCTTGGGCCTCCCAGTCCCCTTATATAGGACAGTGGGTGTTACCCTGGCACACGATTGGATAGAAGTGGGTGGTAGGTGGAGCCAAGGTGGGCAGGGCTTGCTTGACTCGGGAGGAGTTTACTGGACTAGAGTTTTCCATTGGCCAAATGGGCCCGCCATGACTCAATCATTCATAGATGGGCACGCCCCATCGACTGATCTAAACGTTACAGGAAAAAAAATGCGTAGTTAATGTTGTGTTAAGTGCCAGTGAAAGGGGGATGTCACGAGAGCGATTAATAAAATCGGATTAGGTCTGGGGCCGGGCGTCAAAGAGAAGGATATCTGGGCTGAAATTGGAAGGGTTGGTAGGTAGGCACCAACCCGGTTGGGTAGAGCAGGGCGCAGAGGACAGGTGAGGAAGAGCCCCTCAGAGGTAGAAGGGAGCCCAGTTCTTTTCAGGAATGGAGAGGAGGCTGGCTCAGACTGAGGGGGCGGTGGGAGATGAAGTGGGTAGACCACCCAGGTACTGCTCTTGTTCTAAGGGCAACAGAAAACCACAGGGGGGTTTTCGGCAGAGGGAGATGCTGGTGATGAGATCTACATTTCATAAGAGATCACTCTGGCCGTGAAATGGAGAGCGATTTCAAAGTGCCGAGATTGCCGAGATTAAAACGTGAGGGGCAAGGAGGCCACTGCAGCCCTCTGTGTTGAGATAGTGTCTTATTAGACTAGGGCGGTGGGCAGTGGAGAAGGGAAACGGTTAGAGAGAAATTTACAGGCAAGAACCAAAGCCGTGCTGGTCTGGACACACCCTGGAGGGGGAGGGGACCGCCAAGTTTGTAGGGCCGCTTATTAAAACAGGATGTGCCAGGAACCTTGCCTAGTGGGAGGATTATAAACTTGGTTTACACACGCTGGGTCAAAGGGGCTTTTCTTTTTAAGTTTTTATTTTGAAAGAGAGCGAGTGGGGGAGGGGCAGAGAAAGACAGAGGGAGAGAGAGAGAATCTCAAGTAGTCTCCACACTCAACGTGGAGCCCAACTTGGGGCTCGATCCCACGAGCCTGGGATCATGACCTGAGCCAAAATCCAGAGTCAGCCTTTCAACCAACTGAGCCACCCAGGTGCCCCTACCAATTTTGAGTTGACTTTCTATCATTGAGTTGTAATAATTCTCTGTGACTTACGGATACAAGTCCTTGGTGGATACATGTATTGTGAATGTATTTTCCCAGTCTGTGGCCTGCCTTTTCATTGTCTTAACGGGTGTCTATCAAAGAACAGAAAATTTTAATTTTAATGAGGCCCAATGTCTCAGATGGAGATTTCCAGGGAACCAAATCTGAAAGGGAAATCAGAGCTCTAAGGAGGTTGATGAGGGGTGCGTTTTAGGGGCAGGGGGGCAGGAAGCAGGACAGGGCGGTCTCAATGTTATGCTTCCGCTGACCCGTAGGAGCCCACAGCCGTCTGTGGGGGTTGAGAGCCGGCTGCTGGGCGCCATCTAGCCGTTGGGCTCCTAAACCTTCTATTTCTGAGCAAGTGTCTGGGTGGTAAATCACAGTGTCCACTGCATAAAATGTATCAATGTTTTCTTGTGTAATTCATGTTTGTTTGTTTTTTATTTTTGGTGTCCCATCTAGATCTAGGGTCATGATCCAAGGTCATGACGAGTTTTTCCTGTATTTTCTTCTAGAAGGTTTTATAGTTTTAGCTTTTGCCTGTAGGTCAATGACCCACTTGTGGTCATTTCTGTGCAGGGCGTGAGGTAAAGGTTAAATTTTGCACTTTTGCATACGAATATCTAGTGTGTTCCAACACTGAAATCGGTGAAAATCACTGAAATCGCTGAAATCGGTGGTGTCAGGGCGCCTGAATGGCTCAGTCGGTTAAGCATCGGATTTCAGCTGAGGTCATGACCTCATTGTTCCTGAGTTCGAGCCCAGCGTCAGGCTGTGCCCCTCCCCCACTCACCGTTCTGTCTCTCTCTGTCTCTCAAAAATAAACAAACATTAAAATTTTTTTTAAAAGAAATCAATGCTTTTTTTTTTTCTTTCATGAAACTGGATGAGAGTTTTAAATTTCATGTGGTGAATTAAGTTAAGGGAAAAAAAAAAAAACCAAGAACCTTTCCCAACTATCAAAATAATGGGGTATGCTCAGGCAAATGAGTGGATGGAATAAATCAGAAACACATAACAGCTAACAACGATAATTAACATTTATTGCATGCTTGCTATGTGCCAGGCATTGTTACCTACACTTCTCATATATTCATGCATTCAACCCTCTCAGAAACGTTAAAATGTAGGTGCTACTGTTATTCTTATCTTACCAATGAAGAAACTGAGGCACTAGACAATTAAGTAGCTTGTCTAGTGTGCATAGGTCGGGATTTGAACCTGACTCTCTTGTGTAAGAGCCCAACATCTTAACCTCTTTCTTCTAGTGCTGACATCTGTACGGGATATTAATACCAAACCAAGATCATATTGTGATTTGATTAGAAAATGTGTGTATTGGTTTCCAATCGCTGCCGTAACCAATTACTGTAAACATAGTCACTTAAAAATAACACAAATATATTGTCTTTGTGCTGTTGTGACATTTTATTTTATATGCTCACTGGCTCTCTATCAATCTGACCACTTTGGGTTTTGGTGCTTGGGTATCTTTGCCTGTCTGGTCTCCAGCTGGGGGAATGACCTTTTTTTCTATTGCTAATTCTGAGCATCTTTGAAATTTGCATAATGTGGCTTCACTCCAGCTTTTTTTTGTTGTTGTTTTTTTAGGTCTGTAATTTGTTGGTTGTATTTAACTATAGAGTTCTGTCGTGATGTTTACTGTATTATAAAGCTCGTGGTTTATAAATCAATAAATGATGACTTGGAGGTTGGGAAAAAAACTCTGGGGGCCAAAAGTCCAAAATAGGTCTCATTGAGCTAAAATCAAGGTGTCGATAGGGCTTCGTTCCTTCTGGAGCCTCTAGGGGACAATCTGTTTCCTTGCCTTTTCCAGCTTCTAGAAGCTGTCTGCCTTCCTTAGCTCATGGCCATACTCTCCATCTTCAAAGCCCGCAGTGTAACAAACATACTTTAGGGGTCCCCCATGATGATTAACTGGGGAGCAAGTGAAATGAAGAGGAATTGGGGGATATGTGTCTTTTACCAGTTGCAAAAATATATATTTTCTTTTCCCATTTTTGAAAAATAATCTCATAGAAGGCTTTTTCTTTTCTTTCTTTTAAATGTTTATTTATTTTTGAGAGAGACAGAGACAGAATGCAAGTGGGTTAGGGGCAGAGAGAGAGGGAGACACAGAAGCAGAAGCAGGCTCCAAGCTCCGAGCAATCAGCACAGAGCCCGACGCGGGGCTCGAACTCAAGAATCGTGAGATCATGACCTGAGCCGAAGTCGGACGCTCGACCGACTGAGCCACCCAGGCGCCCCAAAGGCTTTTTCTTCTTTTATGACTTTTTTTGTGTACCATTTTAAGAAAACTGTGTGTAGGGAAAGAGTAGACAGGAGAGAAAAGTAGATAGGAGACTGTGATGATTCCCCTACGTGCCCATCACCCAGCACTTATAGTTGCCAACACATGGCCAATCCAACTTCATCTCTACCCTGCTACTCCTCCAATGTTTGGTGACTTCAACGCCTGGGATTTTTGAAGCAAATCCCAGGCATGATGCCATTTAAACCGTAAATATTTCATTATGTGTCTCTAAATGGTAAGAGCTCTTTTCATAAAACATAGCCGTGGTAAGGATGTTTCAATAAAATAAAAGAAATGAAGAGGGTCCAGTTAAGAGGAGGGGGGTGAAGATACAAGAGCAGAAGCAATCATCAGAATCTGAGATTGAGGTGAGTGTGTGCATTTGTCACTGAAGCTGTCACCCAGTGGTTTCTATTTTCTCTATTTTCTCAGTGCAGGTAGAACATTCCCGAACCTGAGGGAAATGCTGGGAAAGAAATATATGAGGGTAATTAACATGGGCTGTCACAGTCGAAATCCCCCTCTTCGAATCCCAGTGGTTTTATTCAGTCAAGGCCTATTTCTCATGTGAAGGTCAATGTGAATTGGATAGACTTCCCACCTGAAGCACATGGTCTCCCTTTAACCTCCATTCCCCTTTTATTGGCCACTTCCAGTAACGTGGCTCAACCTAAGTGCCTGGGGTGGGGAGGAGGACCTGGAGATTGGGTGTGGACCAACTTGTTATCCCACAGGAGGTTTGTACCGATAGATCATTTTGGAAGCTTTGACCACTTCAATAACACACATGCATTCACACACGCACACACAATTTTTTTTAAACATTTAGGGATGTGCTACTGGGTAGAGGTCAACTGTGCAGACCCTGGAGGGGCTGTGTCTGGGTTGTAATTCCAGCTCTACTACTCCGTACATATGACCTTGCCTGAACCATCTAACTCCTCTAAGCCTTACTTAATCCATTTGCACAATAGAGATTAGTAACGGTATCTAGGTTACCGAGATTTTTCTGAGGATAAATTGAAATAATGGATGGAATAATGAAACGATAATGGGTGATATTATTTGTAGGCAAACAAATATTAATTATTATTCTTAATAGCATGTTCAAGTGATGTTGTTTATCTACAAAACCCAAGAATAAGAAAATTAAGAAAAGTCCTTAGTTATATGCCATTAATAACCAACAACATGGCAGGATGAGCCAATGTGGACCCTGCCCTCCATACACATACACTCAGCATAGAAATGTTTGAAAACGTATAAATATAGAGCTGGCATTGAAAGACAAAACAGGGGATGCTTGTGTGTCATTAATAAAATAATTGATGTCATGGCAGCCCTCATGAATATTGGTTCAGAAATAATTCTTGCAGGACAGAGATAGAGGGTTTTTTTTTAACGTTTATTTATTTATTTTGAGAGAGAGCAAGGGAGTGTGAACATGTGAGTGGGGGTGGGGCAGAGAGAGAGAGAGAGAGAGAGAGAGAATCCCAAGCAGGCTCTGTGCTGCCAGCACGGGGCTCAAATTCACGAACTGTGCAATCACGACCTGAGCCAAAACCAAGAGCTGGATGCTTAACCAACCGAGCCATCCGGGTGCCCTGAAGTAGACAGCTTTAACGTTGTCTCTAGAATGGAGACTTGCCCTTGCACCCCCCACGTTTTAGAGCCAGAGGAGAGACTTCAGTTGAGACCCGGGATCCTGGAAGAAATGCCCTTCAGTGATAAGGAAACTAAAGTAAATCTTCCCAGCAGACCAGAGAAGCAACAAAGAAGCTTAGGTCTGCTTAGGCTTCAGACTAATTCTAGGGTCCTAATCATGGTGTGAGGTCTCAACTTATACTCAGTACATGTTACAGAAATCCCAAAGACAAGAAATCAATTTAAAAAAAAAAAGTATCCAGTGTTCACGAAATCCATTAGGTTAACTAGCTGAGGAAAACAAACATTTGCCTTAGAGTAATAATTCCACACACAGAACATGAGAATTCCCCAAAGAAAAACATAATAATTCTTGGTCAGGATGAGCTCATAAATGAAAACTACAAATCTCAAAGCCAATCTTATTTCTTTATCTGTGCTCACCTCCTCAACACTCGATTCCCATGAAGCAAACCCTAGGCATGATACCATTTCAATCATAAATATTATATATATATGAGATATATATATGTTATATATATATATATATGAGATATATATATGTTATATATATATATGAGATATATATATATGTTATATATATATATATGATAAGGACTCTACCTCAAATATAATGAAACGAGTCTCTGAGTGGGAGACTCAGCTGAAAAAAAAAAATAGGGAAGATTAGCCTACCAAAAAATGGACATAGAAAATTGGTCAGAAGTATAAACTCACACGCTTTAAATAATTAATGAGATAAAATAAGGAATAGAACACTGAAACAGGGAAATATGAAACAAAGACAGGTACATTTAAAAATGAAGCAAATGCAACTTCTAGAAATAAGTATAGTCCTTGAAATTTAAAATTAAGTGAATATGACATAGTTTAAAGGTGCAGAATTCAAGCACACTCCAGATGGAGAGGCAGACAGGTGGGAAATATGAAAAGAGCTTAAGAGACGTGAAGGAGGAATGGAAGGCATCCAACATACACCTGAGAGGAGGCAGAGGAGGCAACAGTCAAAGAGAACATAGCTGAAGATTCTCTGGAACAGGGTAAGACTGGAATGCTCAGAAGGAAGAATCAGAAATTGCAAGCAGGGTTAAAAAAAAAAAAGAAAGAAAGAAAGAAAAAGAAATTTACACCCAAACATTACTTGTGCAAAAGTGCCAAAAACAAAAGGCAAAGAGAAAAAGCATGAAAGTAACCAGACCAATAAAAAGGAAACATATTATCTAAAAACAACTAATCAACTGACAAAGACTTCTTATTGGCAGCAGAGGAGAAAAGACCCAAATGTAATAATACCTTCAGAGCGCTGAGACAAGATAACTGTCAAGTCAGACTCCCCTCCCCAGC